GGGTAATTCTTGTCGGTGTTTTTTATTGCATATTTTTTTTTTTAATAATTTTATTTTGAATTATATTTTTGACGTTTCACAAGATTCTACTGTGGATAATATTTGACTGAAACTATCAGGAATAAATTGAGCTGTGGAAGAAAAAAAACTCCATTGTAAGCATCAGTGACATTCATTCGAGAAGCATCTTGAACAAAGCAATCTGTCAAATTATTATTATCCAATTATTTGTATTTAGTTAATTTTAGGGGTGTTTATTATTACCTGGATACGACCTAAAAATCTGCTTCTAAAAACAAAGCAAAAAAACAAAACAAAATCAATAAATAAATAAAAGTAATGAATAATAAAGAACTAAGTCACATTAAGATTAATGACGGACTCATCGGAAATAATCATTTTGATAATGCTTGGCCTTGGAGTTGAATAAAGCGTACAGTAAGTTCCAAATCATGTTCTATGACCCAGAAGTTATTCTTTTTCTCTAATTATTACTGAGAAATCCCCAATCAGTAAGTCAAATGATTATCTTTAATTTGAGGAGCCTAATGTAAAAATGATGTACAACAAATTGGAACAATTAACAAAGTGATAATAAAGCAATCATCTGACGCGTTGCTTAGAACACAAACGGTTGGAAAATTAGCAGCGTGTTAATACATTCCAAAAATAATATACATTATTCATTTATCTAAGCTTAACACATGACAATAACCAGGGCCGGTGCGTACTACACCCAAACACCTTGACGAGGGAAGCCTGATTGGGGGGGGGGGGGTCAGTGCTTTGTGACACTATCTTATCAAAATTTGCTTTTTTTCTACCTGCATTTATATACATTACAAATTAAACTAAGCACAACTGACTATTAAAGGATGGAACATCTTCGCGAACATGACGTCATTCTGGAGTCTTTTTTTTTGTTCAAATCCGTGAATTTGCTTTGTTCATGCTAAGTCTCAAGAAACACTATAAAATTCAGTAATTTTAATCTATAATGCTGAATGTGTTAAAATTATTCAACATTTTAACAAGAAAAAAGTTGATGTTACAAATTTCCGCAAAACATTGTTGGTTTATTTAAGATGGAATGATCTATTATGACATGTGGCTAATTTGTATTTAGAAACATTATATTTATTTTCAATTTTTCTAGTTGAATTGTTCACCTACATTGCATATGATCTATTATTGTACATAATTAGGTGACAATAAAATTTGTATTTTATATGAAACTACCTTATGAAAATTGAGATGTAGTGGGGATGTCGTATCATACATACGGGGGGTGCACAATATCCTTGCACCGGCCCTGGTCAGATCGAACTTATTATACTAGTGACCTGATCAGCAAGATAAGCTTACTTAATATATATATGGGCTCCGTTATACTTGTTTGATAAACTTTGTGTAGACTGGCACAAGGTCACAGTCATAGCGCAACCAGTATGAATCAAACTCATTACACCTCAACGACAGTCTCTCAGATTTCACTAAGGGTCATGTCACTCTAACTGCTGATACTAAAGACCTCATTTGCTTCCACGCACACTATCAAGAAACAACTCAGAAGCACTGACAAAGCTTCAAAGGGATCACCTTTAGACACCAACCCGTCGTCTACCGTAAGAGCTTAATTCTATTTATCTCATTTATGCCCATTACTGTTACATACACATACACATACTATCTCTCACAAACACACGAGTAACTGCATTTCACCTTTCTTACATACGTACACAATACAATTTGTACTATACAAAGAATTCTTTTAACAACCAGAAAAAAGACATTACTCATTCAATACATTTAATTTAAACCAATTGTGTATTCCAGCTTGAATTTTTGTTATATAAAATTAATGTTATCTCTTAATATTACGTTGTGTTTTTATACATGATTTTATTTTTTTAATAAATGTCGTGTTATTGTTTTAGAAGGCCAAATTACGAGCATTCCCGCAATATTTTATATTATTGTATCGAATACCGACATTCCGCTTTTTAACGTTTAACTAAAATCCGTATAGAATGATTTCTACAACATGTACAGGTATTTTCGCTTTATATGATGTAATTTTTTTAATTTCTTGAAATAAACGAACACTGAAGAGATAAATGCACCAATTTATGTCTAATTGGTATTTTTTATTTTACAGGTGAATGAAATGTCTTCGATCAGAATATCTTGTAAAAATAAGCCCGACGTATTGTGCTACATCTGCGGCGAATACACCATTGTCTCTAACGAGAATCCAGTCACAAGTTTCATACAGCTTGCTTACTTTCTTTATTTTAGTATTAAACTTGGTGACCAGGATAAAGCTTGGGAGCCAGACATAGTAGATAAGACATGTACCGAGTATCTGCGTCGGTGGACCAAGGGCAAGAAGAGTTGTCTGAAGTTTGGAATTCCAATGGTTTGAAGGGAGCCAACAAACCATAGCAGTGACTGCTACTTCTGTGCTATTGATGCGATTGGGATTAACAGAAAGAACGGGAACAGCCTGGTAGAACTTATAGTTCTCTTAGGATGGTCACGCTGTATAGGTTGAAAAAATCTGGCAAGGAAATGCATCGTTGTCTTAGGCCTCTTTCTTTGTAATAACTCTGTTGCATACAATGTGGATATGCAAGGAAGTGTCGTAGTTAAAATGGCATCACCAGCAAATCGACTTTCAGACCAATTTGACCGTGTCCACTAAGCACTAATAATAATCTTGGTATAGTCATGAACCCATATCTACTTGTGCTAGTTATCTTGATAAGGGGTTTTGTTTCTGACACATGAGAGGAGAAGGAGAAGGTGAGTCATAACCTAGGAAAATCACTTTTCCCTTAGTTGTTCGGGAAAAAGGGCGTTGTCGTTGCATTTGGTCTTGCAGATCATTATTACGAAGTAGTGACTTCGATTCTTTTTTTAGAAAACTAAGCTAAACTAAGCTTAGCTAATATCTGTTCAGAGAGTTCTCATTATCAGGGTGTCCAGATTGCACGGATCGTCACGAATCTTTCCTTTCAGTCTTCACGATTATCCATCGCACTTGTCATCAGGTTAGCATTCGGTGTCTTCAGATATTTGCTGAATGCATGATTCGTATGGGTGACCAATGCTAGTATGTGCATGTTTTGGTGTTCACAAGAGAACATCAATGATAAGCACATACTTAGTTATTGACAAAGCGATTGCGAAATAAACAAGACGGTGCGTATATTAGGATGTTACGTGTTGCATTGTATCTATCCTGGAAAAAGCACCCTAAAAAATGAAACTTTATGGCCATCTACCTCTCGTCTCACAAGTCATTGAGGAGAAAGTACAAGAATAGACGGTATTCTCCTATGTCCCATGTCCCTATGTCCCATGTCCTTTCAGGACATGGGTGATCATGACTCTCAATATTTTCCTATCCTTTGTACTTCCTCGTAAAGTTTGTCTTTTCAACATCCCTCAAAATCCCCATGAAAGGGCAAAATCACGAATTTTGTAGCTGTGTAAATTGTTTTTGCTATAAGTTTATAGTATCTACCATGCATGGTATGGTAGGAAGAGAAGATTGTTGATGTTTTTCTTCACTGGTTCTCCGTTTGAAAAAGCGTGTAAATGTATATTTGAGTCTGTACATATATAGGTTTGTGTGTTTCATGATCACGTCGTGCGTTACCGACTTGTTGCGGATCGGTTTATGCGTTGAGAGATAAACAAGTATGTTCCTTGAAAAAAAAAAAAAAAAACCACAACAAACATGGCAGACTCGGAATGTGAGTCCACGTAAAGAAATACAAGAAACGACAAGAACCAATATATAAGTACAACAAATGATAATGTATTAACAATAAAGAGTTACATGTGACAAAGATGTGTGTATGAAATGAATATGCAAACCCTTTTTGTCCAAAGTATGTGTAGGGAGTGAATATGCGTACGTACGTTTGTGTGTATGTATTGTTTATGCGTTTCCCAAAGGAAACGCGTTCTCCGTGAAGAGAGCGATAAAAAAAATTATCGTAGAGTATTTATAGTCCTGAGAACGTCTCCTAGGAGCAGTTTCGAAAATTAGGAGGAAGTAACACGACAGACTTTTTAAAATAAAAACAAACTTTTGTTCGATCCAGGAGATTAATGTTTACCGCTGAATTGGTAAACATTAATCGGTGCATTGGTAAACAAGAAAGATTATGATGAAAAATAAATATTTGTATAATTCAAAACATTTTTTAACATTAGGCTGTGAGTTCATTGATGTCCCTACGCATATATAATTATTATATCACCAATATGAGAATGATGATGATGATTTATCATTTCTATATGTCTCTTTTATGAATATGCGATTTTGTAGGTTCCGTCATTGCCTATTAATTTTCGTAATATTCAAACTGTAGCAATATTTAGTTTATCTTTTAATCTTAACATTCTATAAAGCACTATACAATCAAAACATTTAATGTAGAAGAAATTTAATGTATTAAATTTGCACATAAGGTTGGCAGGTTGCAGCTTCGCAGCATTAATTATCATTTAAATTATAATAAAAAGTTCGTAATACACCTCTTGCGGCATACAAATTTACCAAAATATGATTATCAGTTATTATGGAATATAAACGTATTTGATCTGTGAGAAGAAAAAAAAAAGATCGTAACGAGGATGACATATACTGTAATTATTTTTTTTCTGCTATTTTATACTGTGAATCTATAAAACATATTTAAAAACAGAAGTGGCGTTGAGAAAGACTCAACACCACTTTTCTTTGAGTATTCCGTCTGCAATTCGTGGTAACCACTTAATGTGAATAATGACTTCGTGATTAATGAAATGAACGTCAAAATACAATAATGGCATGGATAAAAGACTAAAAAACCAGACAACTTAATAATTCAATTAACAAAAGACTTATTATTTCGGTTGTGATTAGTCATTATTATTTTTTCAAAATATGGTTATTTAATGGATGCTATGAAAATCAGGAGCAGGAGAAGAAGTAAAAAGGGTACTTGTCAAAAAGAGAAGAAAAGCGTGCTTGTAAAAAGAAAAGAAAGCAAATGAAAGAAATAAAGATAAAAAGGTAAAAAGGTGCTTGTAAGAAAGAAAGAAAGAAAGATAAATAATAAAAGAAAAGATGCTTGTCAAAAAAGAAAGAAAAGAGTAATTGTTAAAAAAAGAAATAAATAAAAAGGATATTTGAAAAAAAAGGATAATTAAAAAGAAAGAAAAAAAGAAAGAAAAAAGAAAGAAACGGTGCTTTTCGAAAAAAAAAAAGAATGAATGAAAGGAAGAAAACAGTGGTTGTCAAAAAAAAAAAAGGGTGCTTGTTAGAAAAAGAAATAAAAAGAATGTTTTTCAAAAATAAAAAAAAACATAAAGATAGCAATAAAAAGAGTGATTGTCAAAAAAAAAAAAAGAAATAAAAAGGAAAGAAAGAAAAAAAGACAAGAATGTTTGTCGAAAAAAAGAAAGAAGGAAAAAGAACTAGAATATGCAGATTGTCTAAAACCAATTTATTCTGCGGTTTTTGTTTCTTTTCTGACCTTGGATTTTCCCTTTCTAGTTTCTTTTGTCCACTTTGTAGGCTACCGTTTCCCTTTCTATGCCACTAATGAGTTTATCAATTCATTTGAGACTAATTAAATCATGATTAATTATCGAAAGACAGACAAAAAGAAAAAAAACGATAAAAATGAGCCTAATTTCAGATATGAGAAGGACGCATTGAGTGACCAGGAAAATAAGACGGGAACATACAAAAAGAATAATGTATACTTAAATGCAAAAACGACAAGTTCAATAGAAGCCAATGAAAAAATATAAAAATTCTTTATAAGAACAAAAGAAATTTAAGAGATTTTTATTGTTTGATTTTTGTCGTTAATTTTTTTCTAGTTGGCTGTAAAAAGATATTAATTATTTTTTGAAATGGGAACATATTGTTTCGTTTTGCTTTCTTTCTTCAAATAATTTTGTGAGAGAAAAAAAATTAATTGCCTGTGCAATAAATTATTTTCTTTTTGATATACGCTGAAATCGAATTCATATCCGTACTACATTCTGTAAAACCTAGCAACCGTACAGTAGTCTCCTTCGACGCAGAAAACATTTTTACTAATACCCCAGTTCAGGACACGACAGACATCATTCTTTGAATGTGTATACAAGGATCCTTTATTTTCGTCCTTACAAAATCAAATCCACCGCTCTGAATAAATTACTGTTAGCAACTACTACTAGCGTTCCTTTCTATGACCCCGAAGGCATCATCTATACCCCCACTCATCGCGTCTGGGGCTTACATTATCTAGCTGTTAAAGGTTTCATTTAGAAAATAAAGTATTCAAAACTTCGGTAAACTTATATTTTTAAAAATCAGTTCGCCCCAAGCAAGGCAATAAAGTTATTATCACCCAAAGGATTATTGAGAGTGAAATAAACTGATTTCATTAAACTACATTTCGGCTGTTGAAAAAATGAATCACTCACAAGGCTACGCAAACACATTTCAACTTGGTCGAGATGGGAAGCTCCAACACAGATGTACCAGCAATACTGGTCTGAGCTGGCTTTTATAGTGATAGAGCATGGTAGGAGGAGTCAAGTACTTTCTGAAGCAGTACAGGGAACCAACTATTTCTCTAGCGTTTTTAGGACGTACAGAGTGATCAAAAAATACCCCCCCATTTTAAAATGCTTATAATTTATTTATTAACTATAATTTTTACAAGAAATGGATATAAGAGGAAAGCGGTTAGCATGAGGTTTTATTTAAAATTTGATATGGCCACCGGATTTCGGTACTAGCTTCTCTCACCGTCCAGGAATCGCGTCAAGTGATTTCACCAGGAACTCTTGTGTTATAGAAGGCATAACTTCTTGTATTCACCCTTCAAGTTTTTCCAAAGTCTTAGTCTGGTATAGTAGACTTGCTCCTTTAACCAACCCCATAGGAAAAAATCACAGGGTGTTAAGTCAGGGGTCCTGGCTGGCCACTCATACATAAAATAGGGAGTTAATTTTCAATCACCACTTAAGGTCTGGTGTGACGTTCCAGGCAATGACAATGAAACATTTATGTATCTCTATTAACGTATAGCATAATGCTGATTGTGCAAAGTAATAATGAAGTTACCGAATTTACTATCAATTAAATTATTTTATAGTTACAACGTAAAGAGGTGCGTATTTTAACTTTATAACTAAGTACACGGTGTGTGCCACTTATTTGAGAACACATCTCGAAAACACAAAGAAAACAATCTAAAGTTAATGCGGCATGCGCCAAATTTTGACATTCCCATTTCTCTTCCAGATGTATCGCTAGTATTAACATGACGTTTTTCAATCTGACACAGGAAATGAAAAGGCAGATCGTGATGTTTGAGGCGTTATCCGCCAACCACGGCGACTTGCAGATAGCGAGCTTCTTGGAAGTGGCCAGGTGAACAGAAGGAATGACAGGTGGCTCCGCGCGGACCCAACGGATGTTCTAACGGAGATACACACCAAGTTTACGTCATTTATGATGGTCCCGGAGGTCGGCAGCAGCAAGATTCATGTAATGCCTCCCACTTCTTCCTGCATGGCCTCAGAGTCAATACTCACGCCTACATTAATCCGAACACGCTATCGTTTCCGAAGCCTCATCGAAGCTGAGAGCCATTTTACTGAACAAAATTTTCTTGTTGTTCTAAGTTACACATATGTATTAGGATAAGTTATAATTTCTGTTTTTGTTTATCAATTTTATATTTTAAAAATAAATACAATTACATTTTATTCAATTACATATTCACCATTATTTGAAGTCACTTGTTACCATTTATCAGGGAGTTTTTCGATACCCTTTTAGTAAAATTTCCGCAGGATTTGACGTGAAAAAGTTTTCATTGAACTCTTGTATCTGGTTTTTATTAAAGGGAAACTTCCACATCAAAATGTTTTGCAGCGATCGAAAAAAAAGAAAAAAGAAGTAATAATCGGTTGGCGCAAGGTCAAGTGAATATGGCGGCTGGAATAGAACAGACCAACCGAGTTCCAAAATGTTATTATTATTGTATGTAGCCTTGCACTGTCATGGAGAACAATATTTTTTCTATTGTCAAGTGTATCGAGCTTTTCAACCAAACCTTTATGGACACACTGCTGTTGCTGGATACTTCAATGTGCATTTAGTGTTTCATTAAATTTTAAGCACTCTAAATTATTAATAATATCCCGACGATCCCACCACATACACAACATTGTCTTTCTTCCATTGAGCTCAACTTTTGAGGTCGTTTGGGGGAGGTTTGTCCATATTAATCCCCTATCTTTTGCTTCAAACATTATCATATATAACCCATTTTTCATAATTTGTGATGATATATTTAAAGAACGGTTAGTTTAGATGATACATTCGTCATAACAATTGGTTTCCCAAAATGGAAATTACTCATGACTCAAGCGAATACAAATTTCTTTGAAAATATACTCATTTTTTTGTTGTTGAATATCTTTAATAATTTCTCTTGAATTACCCAGTGTATCCTGTGTTCTTCTTTTATGTGACAAGTTCTTGCCCTTACAAGACATGGCTTTCCATAACTACATTTCTTTTGTTACTGTAAGTAACTTTTGACCCTTTAACATGTCTTCTTTTTCAATTTACAGAAAATTGTTAAGTAGATTACTGTTTATCCCGATGCTTCTTTTGCCTTCCGCAGTTATGTGAATGTTAAATTCTCAGTGTCCTCTTTTCTCACTATGTATTAAAAAATATTAACTGCTTCCTTCTAATTGTAAGTATAAGTTTAATTGTTATTCTTATTCTCATTGAGTATTAAACGTTGCTGATATTTTATGGTCATCTCTGCCGTTTCGCATCGCTTCTTTATATGTGAGGAAATTGTCCAGTCTCTATATCCATTCGATATTAAATAGCAACCTAGCACGCTTTTCTTTTCTGACCAGATTATCAGTGGAAAGCCTGCAAGGTACAACTGGCTGACTGTGCTTACAGCATCAATTGGCCTTAATCCAATCGTGTATGTTTGTTTAGAATAGCGCCACAATAGTGGGTTACTTATCTAGGATCGAACTTTTTGCATTACAAATTGCTTGCGAGACTCACTAACCAGAAGATGGGGAAATATATATTACTTTAACTTAGTTGAGTATTGTAATATTGGACTACTCAGTGAGGATATAATTCACAGCAATAACAATGGTCAGGCAAATTTTTATATATATATAAATATTTTATATATATATATATATATATATATATATATATATATATATATATATATATATATATATATATATATATATATATATATATATATATATATATATATATATTGAGAGAGAGAGTGATCCGAAAGTCTTGTCACTCCAACACAATATAATTTTCTATTTCAGATGGTTGCCACGAAAATGATGTGTGAGTATCAACGAAAGTGAATAAACTGAATCCAGTACATGTGCTTTGTATTACTGTATAACTTGTATTCTCAGTACATTTTGTTGGGGGTAACAAGACTGTCAGGCCATTCTGTATCTTGAATACCGTCTGTACACATGTAGTTTCTATCTTGCTTAATATATATTTTTTTTTCTTAGCGTATCTTAGATGTGGCACAAGGTCGCAAATATGAAGCATTCAGTGAGAATCGAGCTCAACTCTCCGTGCTAATCGATCTAGCGAGACAAGTTTACTAGCCATTATATCACGTCAAAGTGCCCATACATATATAGTGATTTACTAAGTGTAGCTTAGATGTAGCACAACGCCGAAAGTATTGAGCACCAAGTGAGGATCGATCTCACTACTCAGTCGTAATCGGTCTAGCGAGATAAGCTTGCTAATCATTACACCACGTCGAAGCGCTCATACATATATAGTAAATATTCAAGCAGTCAGAATTCATTGAAATAATTTGTATTTAATTCAGTCGACAAGATCTGTCCTTTTAAACTTTTATTGTATTTTTCCAATTTTCGAATATGTTACACACCAGGATCCAAATTTTGAATAACCTATTTAAAGTTCATGTTTTTGTTCTGTTTTTACTTGAGTACTTTCGACCATTATCAAAAACAATAACGAAGGCGGTCAAAAGCACTCTAACAAAAACAGAACAAAAGCCATTAATAGTGACGTCATCATCATCATCGTAGAAAAATGAACTTTGCTGGCTTGGTATGAAAGAAGCAAGTTGGGCGCCGTGAAGTGAACACGGATTGCTTGAAAAGAAGTCAAGGAAACACATATCCTGGCAACTCGGGCTTTGATTTATTCGAAATTCGAAACCGGAAGATGCTCATACAGGAACCTATAAACAAAGGATTCTGGGAAACGGAAGCAGTTATATGAGTGATATCGAGTGCTTTTACGCACCTGTTTTGATACTTGCATTTTCCAGTTTCTATTTTTAATTCTTTTTATTCTCACTTTCGCTGATAGGAACGTATTTTTTTTCTGATTATTTGTTGAAAATTTTGATTTCTTTTTAATTTCACATTGATTCATTCACTTGCCTTTTCTTTTTCGCTTTTTCTTTCGTCTTTTTTGCCTGTCTATTCATCTATCTACATATGTTCATAGCTATCAAAAACTGTACATTAGTATCTTAATCTCTCTATTATTTGTTGAATATTTTGATTTCTTTTCTATTTAAGTTGATTTGGTTGCTTGTCCTTTTCTTTTTCCTTTCTTGCTTTTTCGTTCATTGATCTATTTTAATTTCTGATTTCACTCTGAGTGAACCTCCCTCTACCTCTTTTTTATCTCTCTCTCTTTTTGTCTGTTTGACTGCTCATATTTATCGATATCAGTCCGTTCATCTATCTATCTATCTATCTATCTATCTATCTATCTATCTATCTATCTATCTATCTATCTATCAATAAAAAGAATACCCGCTCGGCCCGGTGGCTAGGATCAAAGTGTAGTATCTGCGCTTTGTGAGCTGCCGAGTCGGGTGTCTGTCGAACTCTCTGCTTGCAGAGAGGAACCCGGACGAGGCTCCGCCGAAGGGTAGGGTTTCGTTCGGGGAGGTTGACGGAACTAGCCCGCTTGGACGGGTTTAGATGGGTTTTATTTTTGGCTGGGCCTACGGGCTCAGACATACCCACGTTAAAAAGGCCTTGTGCCACATTCGGTCCCCGTGGGTGGATTGATAAATACCATCTATCTATCTATCTATCTATCTATCTATCTATCTATCTGCTCGTATGGATCTAGGTCAAATGCACATTAATCTCTCAATCTATTTTCCACTTTTCTTTCTTTCTTTCTGTCTTTCTTTCTTACCACTTGTTTTTTTATTTCGGGGTATCAACTTCTTCATCTTGAGCACAATACAATTCCAAATAGAGAAATAGAGGGTCTGTTTTATGCCAGTCTTTGAAGTTAAGAGGATTTCATTTCCTTAAAATGAAGTCTTCGAAATCTATTTTTTTACCTGGGTTCAGACACCGACCATTGCCACCTGCTAAAAAGACGCAAATAAATTAACCACTAATTGAGTTCATTTTTATCTGGTACAGGGTCACAAGAGCCACACATTGAGAATCAAACCTCTTCAATTAGGACTCATCTAATGAGAATAGATTCCTTACCCTTACTCTTCTTCAGGTACTGTTGTAGATATTTAGGTTATTCTGAAGCAAGACCATTACAGAAAGAAATAAAGTTGATATTTTGGATTCTTATCTAACGATTTTGCAGATCTTTTCCATTTATATAAAATCCAGTTTTCAGTTCCATCACATTTTTTCTATCACAACAACAAGGCAATACAAAATCTGGTCAATGACAGGATCCCCTACTTTAATGTTATATTTTGTTTGTTATCAAGGCTCAAAAACCGAGTAGAGACGACAGTGAAACAAAGACTGCAATTATATGAGAAGAGAGAAGATTTATTACTGACCAAGTTCTTCTAGCTAACGTTATATGAGTCTAGTAATAAATATAATGTCTCCTTAAATATGTGTAATCATGTTCTTTATTTCACAGTCACTTCAACACTTGATAACAAACGAAACACATAACATTACATCTAGATTTTATATTTTTGGTTCCTCATTCAATTCAAATAAAACCTTATTAGTTGCTCTCACATAATGTGAAATGATTCCAGTTAATGCCCTAGAGTTAACTATAAAGTTCACTGAGATTTTTGGATCATCTTCTATCATACTGTTCAAATCATTATTAATTGATAATTTAGTCTAACTTGTCTCATGGTTTTTAAATTGAAATTCTCACTGGCAAATTTCTGACATCTAAATATTACTGTAAATTCATTATCAACATTGTCCACAAATGTGTAATTTATAGCAGTTTCAGTAACATCATGACCTAAATTGAACTTATATATATATATATATATATATATATATATATATATATATATATATATATATATATAAGCTTTCGATCCATTGAACACATTTCTAATGAATTTATGAATTTATTTTAATCCGAGATTTTTATTCGTTTGAAGTAATAAAAATGTCGCACATAGTGAAGAAAACAGTGAAAATCATGAGTAGAGAAGTTTTTCACGTTTGCCTTTGAAAAATGTAACAAAAATAACTTAAAAAATAATTGTTTTGAAATATTCAAGTAAATATTTAACAAATAATGTATTATTTAGAATAAATTAAAATATGTAATTATTTTCGAAAAACAATCAGTAAACATATAAAGCATAATTAAGCAAAATTCTCCATCAATTAACAGAAATCTATTAAAATATAATTATAATACACGTAAAACACTGATTTTTCGGCACCTTCTCCATTTTGTTGGCCCAATGGAGATTCTGTAACAATAATTCAATACACTCCCGAACTATTAATTATGAATGTCCCATGACTTTAAAGCATTAGGAATGACAGATATATTCTTAATATGGTAGAGAAAAATTAAATAAACCTGCAATGATTAAATGCCATAAATAATGGTTAGAAAAGCGGGAAATATTTACACAAGTTACCTGAAGCCTCTCAGCGACGAGAAAAGAGAATAATTCATGTGTCTGTTCGTAAATTTTAACGTAGTAAAGCAAATACTGGAATATTCGTTACCTGTAAACATATCCGGATCAAAATTTTGATGAGGATGTGCAACAACTGATTCCACAATTAAAAAAATACAATGAAAAATTAAGCAGATTGAGTTTATCTTGTTGACGTTAATGCAACAATATATATATATATATATATATATATATGTGTGTGTGTGTGTGTGAGAGAGAGAGAGAGAGAGAGAGAGAACTTGTGTGTATATATATATATATATATATATATATATATATATATATATATATATATATATATATATATGTATGTATGGAGAGAGGGAGAGTGAAAGAGAAAATATAATATGGCCATTAGGAATTAACACTGATTGGTAACTGCTTGAAAAATTTTCACATATTGAAGAGTTAAAATGGCACTCACCATACAGTTATGTTTCCGATGTCTCTATTTATAAACGCCCTATTTCTGACATTGAATTCTCCCCTATAAACATAGCAAATATATATATATTTATATATATATATATATATATATATATATATATATATATATATATATATATAAATAAAGACCTATGTCCACAAAAGAAGAAAATAGACTTAAATAGAGAGGACATCATTTTACGTTTAGGAAACCCTTTCGGTCAACAAAAGGAGAACGTTGGACCATAGAACAAAGTATTTTTTTTCAAACTAGATCCGCGTTTCCAGCCTTTAGCAAAGATCGGTTATCCTATCTTCAAAATCGTTCTGTTATATATAAATTTAAATGCCATTGTGATGCGGTATATATTTTGGAAGATCCAATTGAAGGCTGCAAACTCACATCACGCAACACCTTTCTGCCTATTTGCATTCTAGTGGTCTGAGTCATATGAGAACAACAACTATCTATGTACGAATCTTCGATTAGGCAACATTTATTGGACAATCCTGACTGTGCCACCGATTACAATGACAAATTATTTTCAATCTTATATAGAGGTCCGCCATCAAGTTCTTGAGGCTGTGTATAATAAATTTCATCAGACAAGCCTATGCAAGCAGAAGGGACACTTCATTCGTTTCTTCCGTTTGATCGAGTGAATATGAGTAATCTTTTTTCCATTTTATACTCTTTTTTTGAACCTTTTATTTTGTTTTTAGTCGTCAATTTGTTTACAATTAAAATATATTTCAATCGTGTTCCAATTTTTCCTCCTCATTCGCTATTTACAAGTGCGTCATTGAGTATTTTGTTCTACGTGCCAACATTCACCTTTTGATAACGTGTTGGCCTAAAGAGCCTCCTAAAGGTAAAATGACTTCCTATTTAAATATATATATATATATATATATATATATATATATATATGTATGTATGTAAGTGTTAGTAGGATGTGGAATAGTATTCGAAATAAAAATCGAAATAATAAGAAAAGTAAAAAAGCTTTTTAACGATACGTTTCACTGACGTGTTAGGTTGAGCTTCTTCAGGTTGGAACAAAATACAAAACTGTGTAAAGAAAATGCGTTAGGATATTTTTTAAGATAAGAGGGGCAATGTATACATATATATATATATATATATATATATATATATATATATATATAGAGAGAGAGAGAGAGAGAGAGATAGAGAGAGAGATAGAGAAAGACAGACAGAGAGAGAGAGAGAGAAATAAATATACATAAGAAAAACAAATTCGGTTAGAAAAGAACCGATTCTACATAGGAAAGTAGATCAATAAATTTATAGGCAGACAAAGTCATTAGCTGAATGTTGATTTGATATTTTCACCTTATAATGTTCCGTCTATGTGACTAATGAAGAAGCACTGTGTTAACCGCAATCTATAGAAAAACTAGCAGTATAACCCGTCTTCGAACGGGTGTTTCATTAATGGGAATTTTTGCTGTTCATTTGGAGCAGTTTAAGTTTCAAGTCATCCCATCCGAAAATCATTATTAGTAACAACAATTGTGTGCAACTGAGGTGCATCCCAAAGTGGTTGGGGGGGGGTAACAATTTGGATGCGGGGGTAGCCCTAAAAAGGGTCTTTTTTGCGTTCTCAGTCTTGCAATGAAGGAACCTCTTTCATGGACCGTCATAATAATATTTTACGATAATTTCTATTTATAATATTTTTTTTATAATTCTAATAATCTTTTGCACTAGATTTCGACTCTCTAAATTGATTGTACGCTGTGTTTTGCAAACATTAAATTTTGCCTTTGAT